CCCGGGCAGTATCACAGCCCACACACAAATATAATGAAAATGATGTTCTCTGAGAACTCTATTCACGCCGCGATTTACCGTCAGACATTTCACATTATTATTATCATTCTTATTATTATTGTTATTACTATTATTATTTACCACGTCATTTATTCACTCTCTTTTATTTCCACTCTGTATCCTTATTTTTCGACTTATACAGCAGCTCGCTCGTGTCACTGCCTGGTTGAAAATTGTATGTTACCATCGAATATGAGTACTGAAGCAGTTTTTCTGAAACCGCGTGCACCATTCAAACTGGCTGCCTTCAACGTTCACACACTTATGCAGGTCGGACAACAGGGCTGGCTATGTCTTTGGAAAGTCTTAGTATTGACGTATGTTGTCTATTCGAGACCCGTATTCAAGACTGGTGAAGTACTACAAGTTCGCTCTCCATCTGTCGCTTCAAAAAGCTTGTTTTATGTGCGTTTATGCGGGGACCCTGTGGTATCTTCGTCTGGTCTTGCTGGCGTTGGTGTCGCACTAAGCGCTAGAGCTGAGGCAGCACTAATCGATTGGATCCCCATCAACAGTCGGTTATGTGCTGTTAGACTAGACAGTTCCATCAAAGTGAGAAAAAATCGGCGTGAGAAACGATGTCTTTTCGTCGTCTCCGCCTATGCCACGACAGATTGCAGCCCGGATGCAATCAAGGATGAGTTCTACCACCAGTTAACTGTTCTTCTCCAGGAAGTGCGTTCGACAGATATTGTAGTACTAGCCGGAGACTTGAATGCTCAGGTCGGGCGTCTAGGCACAGAAGAGAGTCGTTTAGGTGGCCGATGGGGACTTGTTGGTCGCAGGACAGATAACGGGGAACGTCTACTGCAGCTATGCACAGACCACAACCTGTTTCTGGCTAGCACTAACTTTCGGCACAGTCATCGCCGATGTGCCACCTGGCGTCCCCCTTCTGCATCTCAAGCCTGGACTCAGATTGATCACATCGCGATCAGCTACCGCTGGCGTGGTTGTGTACAAGACTGCCGCACATTTTGGAGTACCTATCTGGAATTTGATCATGCCATGGTCTGCACCAATCTTACCTTACTTTTCAGTGGCCAACCGAGTGACCGCCACCAAAGGATTGATGTTAGCAAGCTGGTTGCAACTTCTGCTGCTAGTAAGTATCGAATTGAGCTAGCTTCTAGGCTAGCTACCATTCCACCGAAAAGTATAGATGAGCATTGGTTGCAATTGCATGACGCCATGAAAATGGCCGGTACAGTCTGTTGTGGGTTCGCGAAACGTCCCGCTTACAAGCACGGGGTTTCTTCTGGTTCCTTACAACTGATTGAAGCCCGTCGGTCTACTCCGGGTGACCGTGAGTTTGACCACAGACGAAAGATGTTACGTAATGAAATCGGGCAAAGCTTGCGTAAGGACCGAGAAGCCTGGTGGTCGGAGCGTGCTAACGAGCTGGAAGCAGCAGCTGCATCTGGTAATTACCGGAAGCTCTTCCAGCTCATCCAAGCCACTGGCAGCAAGAAGTCTGGTGTGAGCGAAACAATCTGCGAGGACGACGGAATGCCAATCACTAACATCCATCGACGTCTTGGACTATGGGCAGAATTTTTCGAAGGGCAGTTCAACTGGCCTGCTGTTTCGGCAACATCGGTCAGACTGTCCTGACCTCCATGGTCGGTGACGACTGATCCACCAAATGAGGCGGAAGTTCGCAAGGAACTCCAACTCTTGAAATGTTACAAATCTCCGGGCCTAGACGACTTACCTCCGGCTCTTTTTAAAGATGGTGGTGACTTTCTGACTAAGGGACTGACGACGTTGTTTGCAAAGGTCTGGGAGCAAGAGAGCGTATCAACGTCATGGAATGAGTCGATAGTTGTCCCTATCTTTAAAAAGGTTCCACATCGTTCATGTAACAACTATCGGGGAATTAGTCTACTTCCGATCGCGTCCATACTTCGTAGGTTGTTCAGAACCCGAGAAGGATTGACTCGCGAGGAGCAGGCTGGGTTTCGTTCTGGTCGAGGATGTATTGATCATATCTTCACCCTCCGCCAAGTGTTAGAACACCGCCATAATTATCAAAGGCCAACAATCGTAGTGTTTCTTGACATCAGGGCTGCCTTCGATTCGTTAGACAGAACTGATCTCTGGGATTGTCTATTGAAGAAGGGTGTGCCTGAGAAGTTTATTAACATCCTAAAAGCCCTATACACAAACACCTCAGGCAGAGTGAGGGCATACAACCACCGTTCTCCACTATTCCATTCGAGCAGTGGGGTTAGGCAGGGTTGCCCAATCTCACCATTCCTCTTCAACTTTGCCATCGATGACATTCTGGAAAAAGCTCTGATGGATGTAAGTAATGGTGGTGTGGATCTGTTGCCTGGAGAAAGACTTCTCGACCTTGAGTATGCGGATGATATTGTCTTACTGTGCGAGAATCCCCAAGTCATGCAATCCGCACTTAATCAGTTGGCAATCAGTATCCTTAGGTATGGTATGTGCTTTGCACCTTCGAAGTGCAAAGTACTTCTACAAGATTGGCAGGATTCTAATCCTGTACTCACTCTGGATGGTGAGCAGATAGAAGTAGTCGAGAAGTTCGTGTATCTAGGTAGCTGCATAAGTGCTGGTGGTGGCGTGAGTGATGAGATCAATGCACGTATAGTGATTATTTATTTATTTTAACACATAAATATCGGTACAAGAAGGCACCAAATACATATGCGCCACACAGATCTCATTTGATATGTGTGAGGGCTGTGATACTGCCCGGGTGCCCAAACCGAAGCAGGTGGTTTTCTTAGGGGACCACACCCCGAGCCTTTGACCTGAACGTCTGACCCACAAGGCAGTGGAGCATCGTGAGGAGATGCAGTCCCATGGTAGCCGGTGACCAACGATTGGTTCATACGCCATTTGTTCCCTCAGGATACTGGAGCCCATGTGCACCATTGGTTTGGGATCCGGTTATAGCGCCGGACATTCGCTTTTCGTCCTCTCATTTTCGTAAACAACACCCCCACCACGAGAAGGCCTTGAGTAGGACTTCCCTGGCAGGGGCTGTATACGCGTGGCCATATGAGAGCATTTCGAGAGGGGGAGCGGACTCCCCCCACTCTCGGCCGTGCCGGGGCATTTGGGTGCCCCCAAATGCCCCGGCACGTATAGTGAAAGACAGAGCGACTCATGCCAGTGGCAACACCATGTTAGTAATGCAGAGGTTCGGCATCGTGTGTTCAGGCACACAGACGATAATTCCATTGGTGTCACCATCTTTAAACACCGACTTCCGTGGCTTGGACATGTTCTACGAATGTCGTCTCGGAGAATTCCTCGTCGTGCATTATTTGACGACTCTGGGACTGGTTTGAAAAAGCGGAGAGGTGGTCAGTGTATGAAAGAAAGCTACAAAGGGCTAGCTTCTGTTGGTCCTTCACGACTCCCTGGCTGGGGTCTGAGAAATTGTGTAACACAGTGGCTAGAGACGTTATCAGATGTGGCTCAGAATAGAAGCCAGTGGCGATCCTGCTGTAACCTTCTTTTAATTTCTTCGTAAAGAGTGGTTGCTTCTTCCTTGACTGTAAGATTTCTTCTGATTGTACCTTTTCGTTTCCCTCATTTTTTTTATAATTCCCTACGTTCCTTACATTTTTTTCCTTCTCTTTAAATTCTGATTGTTTTGTGTGGCGCATATATATTTGGTGCCCCCTTGTACCAATATTTACGTGTTCAAACAAGTAAATAAAATAAATACATAGCAAGAGTCAAGCATTCGAATTCTAATAGCTGGAACTACTTACTTATCAGCTAACTAATAAATAACAATCTACGTAATCTAATGCAATTCTTGGTGAGCAAACTGCGACAAAATCAATGCGTATACGGAGTAGACTTGATTAACTACTCAAAAAGTTTTAAGTAGTATAATTCGGAAAGAAAATACTCAGCCTTGGTAATAAGTTATCAGAAATCAAAATCTAGTTTTAAAGTGCTAACATTATTTTACCATTACACTTAACGACCAAAGATCATGACTGATGTTGAAAGTATCACTGAAGATTTATAGGTTTGTACAACCAACATGGGAGGCTTTATAAAGACTAAACTAAAATAGCCTAATGCCATAAGCAAAATTTAGAAGATCTAAATGAACTGAATCATAGGATACTTATTAGTTTGAAAATATAATTCATCATAGTGGCTATCAGGACTCAGTAGTTAAGTGGATGACGCTTGAAGCGAACGGCATTGAGTTCGAGCCCCAGAATAAACATCAACTCTGGGGTGCGGGTACACACAGCTGACGATTCCCAAATAGAACGAAACGCGCTTTATACTGGATTCCACTGCTAGCCACTACCCATCATTGCATATCACCATAGTACCCGTTTATTAAATTTAGAAATCACATTGTGATCAGACGGCCATCCAGTGTTTCCAGGTTTTCCATGGTGACCTAGCCTCAATTGCCTCATGATCTAAACTATTAAAATTTCTATAATATCCGCAAAACCCCTTCTGATACATTAGAACTAAACCAAGATGGCGTTAAGATAACTTTATCCACTAGTGACAATCAACAATAGAAATGTCAGTTGGGAGAAACATATATACTAACAGATTTCTGGTGATTTTTGTTCATGATCCCACGTTAATAGGAAAATCAAACCGAAGGCCCGCAGGTTATGAAACTCAGTGACACAAGAAGACTTTAGACTACTCAGTATACAAGCGACTTGAATGTAGTTTCCTATTGCATTCTTTATAACCAGTAATATGCGATTTTTAACTCTATGAAATCTATATTGTCTGTGGCATTATTCAGTTTTCATAGCATCACTTATTGTACCTGTTTTTATAAATGTAATGACGGATAATACACCTTTTCCTCATTCAAATGATCACAATGATATCATTACGTTTTGTGTAACGCATTCCTAGATGTCCTATTGTTTAAAATCTTCCGCATAAAATTAATAACATGATAAATTTGAGTATGTACAGTATAATATGCTTTTTAGGATATGATAATAATTCCACATGACAGATTCATTTCACTCTGTTATATGTTCAAGAATACCTTGACGAATTAAAGCCTCACAATCGGTTCGATGCATTAAATGATGACTACCTTTTGTTAAATGTAAGATACTGCCATCCTCTGTTTCGAACTCGCCGAAATCTTGAAGACAACGAACTTCTAAAAATAATGACTTCGGTGGTGTGCGATATTGTGTTAAATCTAACATTCCACCACCTCCACGTTCCGATCCATCAGCTTGCATGAAATTCGCTAAACAACTACAATAGTGTTTAAACCATGCTTGTTCCGCTTCCGATAAACCATCACGGATATCTAAGTTTAAAAGATGTATACATATAAATGAAGCAAATCAAGGATAATGTTTGTATGTAAGGAATTTTAGTTGTCAAAATCAAATGTCCATTATTCAAAACTTAAAGGTGAATACATAAAATTATGACATACCTACCTTGAGATTAACATGAATACTTGACAGATCACTTAGATAAAGTAGAAGTCCAATATTCCTAAATGAGTTTCAACTAACCACTGCTTCGAGTAACGTAGTGTTATAGTTAGAATGTCAATTGACTGTGTGGTGCGCGCTACTTATATTGATATAATAAGTTGTATATAACGCGAGTTTTAAACGTAATGTCCGGCAGCAGAAGATGGGGAAAAATCAAGAGAGGAAGAGCGGCAACACAATGGAATTTGTATGAAAAATCATGAACAATGAAATGTCAGTCAATGGATTGATATTTGCAACAGGAACAGTTCAGTTTAATATGAAGGATTGATATTTTGCAAATTAACGATTTAATATATGGTTTTTCTATTTTACCAATTAACTCTGTAATTTGAGCTAAATACAATTTGGTTTTCCTCACCAGTGTTCTGTTCACTACAACTGGAGTTTGAGACATTCCGAAAAAGTAATGAGAATACGAATGTTATCAAAATTATGTGATATATTTGCACAATAAATTTCGAACACTCTGATCACACACATACTAGTTAAGTCAACTAGATAGATTAATGGTAAGCCGTAGCAAAGAAAAATAAACTACACAAAAACAATGTGATAACCACTTTGGATAATAAATCAGTATTACCAGGGTAGGGTAAGGGTAAGAACAAATTGTTTTTTTGGAAGACAGAGGGGATTTCAGTTTCCGTATAACCAAGGCTTCAATAAACCTTAGTATACGTATTTGAACCCTGATAATACTAAGTGACTTGCCTTAGGACTGCAGTAGATACACTAACGGAATCCGTACACATCTAGTTCCAGAAGTTGTATTATCAGTTATCCAAACTAAATCATATAGATAAGCATAACCTCATAGTAGCATTTTGTCTAAACGAATACTTCTGTTGTTTCATTTCTGTATTAGAAAGATTTATGTGCAGAGGTACTAACAAGTATGTACTTATGACATTTTGTGATCAGTTATACAAAATACAGCGTAGTATAACGAAATTACTATTACCTTTAGGTAAAATGATACCATATTCCCACCGTAGTTCTTTGATCCGCATTAATCTAGCATGGTGATAGGCAAGAAGACAACGTTTATTACGTTCCAAGACAGCATGTCTGACTAAAACAGATTGAATTTTATTACTGTGATCATCTGTTTCATATAATGATGATGATGGCCCAGACGAAGAGTTAGATACAAGGGCTACATCACGATGATTTGCATCATATAATACTCGCATTTCTTCCAAACATAATCGGATTTTATCTTCGCCATAAGGAGGTAATTTGCTTTGTTGGGAGCGTTTTAATTCTTTTATTAGTTGGAGGCTGGTTTGGGCTAGCATCTGTAGTCGACAAAGCGTAAGATGTTAACAGTCACACAAACAAAGTGCTTCAGGCTGGAAGTGAGGGAAAACTTGATGTAAAGAAGGCACTAAATATGCTAGCGAGAGTGCACGTAAGTTATATCTTTTTCAAGGAAAAATGAGTGTGGTGAATTTTTATTATACATATATACATAAGGGCTTCAGATACATGTATTGAAGCAAACTGCATGTCAGACGTTGCGTACTGATAAATATATTGTAATATCTGTTCAAATTGCTCCGTACATTGGGACCCAATAATTAGATCTTATTACTAGACAGACTGATGATCTACATTGAGAAAGATAAAAATAGAACCCTAAATGGTAGAGCAGATTCTCTTACACAAAGACACTAGATTATCTACTATTTTAGACATATAACTTCTAGGTGGTTCAAGGAGAGTAAATTGCCATCCGACACTATACTCCAGACACTGAGATGTTGAAACCTAAAACCCCCTAATAACCTATCAACATATAGATCGTCGAAAGAACGACTCTGAAAACAAAATGGGAGATAAATATCTTGATCAAACGTTGCGTATGTATTTTCCAATACTCACACCCAGCTTTCACTACCTTAAAAACAATTAAATATCAGGTTGCGTGATATGTTTTAGTTGAGTGTAACTCGAACAAAATGACAAACACACTCTTATTAGATGTTTCGGAGGGGATTAGAATCACAAGGAAATTCTGTATAATCTTATTTTCATACGACATTATAATTACATTCTTATTTTGTCTTCCCAACCGATTTCAATAAATTTTACGTTTCAACAAAGAAATCCCCCAGAAGGCTATCAATGATGAGAATCCATACCAGTATTCTAAAACCCAATCCATCAAGACCCAGTTTCAATTACTAGCCTGTTTAGCTTCATGCGTGTCATCCGTAAATGCTACAGAGTATTCGGCTAAAGTACAACATAATGACAAAAACTCTAAGGAATGATATTCCCAACTCACAACACTACCCCGACTCCTAACCTGCAAAACTTGAACTTTATTTTACTAAAAAAGTAATTCGGCACGTGAGGGTTGGTTATGATCATAGAGATTGTCCAATTGTTATAATATTACTTTTTGCTGCTACTTCTATTGTAACTAAGCAGAGTTCTCTAAGTGGTTGATAGGTTCCTCAAAGTCGTCAGTATACAATATCTTAAACTGATAACCATAGAAAGACTGTGAGTGAACGAAGTTGAGATTGAGTTTATTCTTTCATTGCGATCACGATTGTGCCAGTAAGGCTCCTCAGTAAAAAGAAATCTTGAGAAAATTTATGTTAAACATACGAATTTGGAGATATTAATTTAGGCAGAAATCCCGTTATTTGTCCGATAAAAAGGAAGAGAATAAGAAATTGTTGCATTTTGACCAAAATTAACATGAAATTTTACTACAGGATCTTGCCTTATATCTTAGGAAACCGCCTTTATTTACATTAATTACGCTTAAACGTAATCGCGATTAAACATAAGTGTTTCTTATGCTTAACCTGAGCAATTATTTCGTTTATTCTCTTATACTTCCATCCTCTAGATTCTCGCAAACATGATGCTTTGCATATTCCTATATAAACAACGTACCTGGGAAAAGGATACAAAACCATAAAATCTTGTTACTGTAGCGTTTTTCTCAAAAACTCGGCGGGACAATTTACCACCAAAAATTGCTTTTAATTGACACACAATAATAAACACCTTCATACCTGAACTGTTAAAATTTTCACAAGCTTTGCTCTTTTAGAGTATAACTCGGGTAGTTCTGGAGCTGATCAAACAAGTTTTGTCCATTCAGTTAGTATGAATTTTAACTCGACGATAGATTTTTGTCATTATTCAATTTGTCATGGCTTTATTCTACTTTTAGACCTTTATTGGTTGTAGGCTCTAATCAACTAAACACACAGACTTTTTGTAGAGCGCAGTTGTATAACATGCTCCCTCTATCCTTGTGGTCATTCAGGTCCGTGCATCAACGGCGTACGTCCGTCATCATTTCACTGTATTTCGTCCTGCGTTCTATTTCGCTTACTTTGTAGTACCGTGGAAGTTGTTGAAAATTCAGGTAGCATAAATACTTCATATAGAACATCTCTGTGAAAAACCTGTATTAACTGATTGATTTCTTTTTGCTCACTTGTTGTTTCTCTACTATTCCAGGTACCTAGTACTGTCCAATGCGTGGTAGTCTAGCCACTCAACAGAACTGATTACAGTCAATTTTTCAGTAATTATATCTTTTAATTTAGGTGCGTTTGTCTTAAGGCAGTAGAGATCCTGGATACCGTCAACCTTCACATTAAAGTAAACAAGAGTGGAATGAAATTTCGGCAACCAAGAGAGAACGGTTGCTTCAAGAAATTATCAACAAATAGGTTAAATAATCGGTAGCATGGGGGTGTGAAAAGGCTGAAGTGTAAGAATGAAGGGAGAAACCGGACGATAAAAAACATGATAGAAAGTAGTTACTGATATGTGTCAATAACATTAGCACATATATATCATTGCCAATGTTGGACTTGATAGTTTCGAATAAATTGAGCATTGGGCTGAAAGTTAATAAAAAATATGCCTTTTGTTATATCCCTATGAGTATAAAAATTGCACATCTGAAGTTTAATGATTTAATGTAATTCACTTATAGATAAATAAAAAAATTAAATATTAAATTTCACTGTTAGCTCCTTCGTCGTGTCATATAGTTGTCTCATTTCCTTCTCCCACAGTCTTTGCTAGCTCTTCCATGTATTTCTGCCTGTCAGCTCTAATGCTCCTCTTCACTTGCTTATTTGATTTGCGTATCCAGTTTCTGCCTTGACTTTCTCTGTTCTTGTTCGGCCGTTATTAATTGCTGTCTTTTTGTTCTTCATTTCTTGAATCTTGTCCAAGTTCTCTATGAAGATCCAGTCCTTATGGTAATGCTTCTAGGTGGTGATCTGAAGCTATTTCAGCTCCTCTACTGGTTCTCACGTCGTCCGTGTATCTTCCTAGTGCTTCGTTGATGCGAATGTGGTCGTTTTGGTTCCGTGTAGTGTAATCCGGTGAGACCCATGTAACTTTGTGTATGCTTTTGTGATGGAATATTGTGCCGCCTATAACCACTTTGTTAAATGCACATAAATTTGCGGATCTCTCACCATTCTCGTTCCTTTCTCACAGCCAGTCCATGTCTTCCCATGATATCTTCATACCCGGTGTTGCCCATTTCGGTTTTGGCATTTAGGTCTCCCATTAGAATGATCAGGTCTTTTCCTGGGTTGGGCACTTCTCTGTGATTGATTTCAGCCTCTCATAGAATTGATATTTATTATCGTCGTTGCTTTCGTTGGTGGGTTTATAACATTGGATAACTTTCATAATGATTTCCTCCTTCTTTGTTTTCAAGGATGCTTATAATGATTCTGGATCCGTGAGATCCCCATCCTATAAGTGCATTTCGTGCTTCTTTGCTCAGTATCAGAGCAAGTCCCTGAGTGTGTGGAGCGTTTTTCTCTTTGTGACTGGAGTACAGCAGCATCTCTCACACATCTAGCCTTTGCTGTCCAGCTTGTGTTCAATGGATTTCGCTGATTCCGAGTACTGATACGTTGTATCTCCTCATTTCCATTGCTATTTGACTAGTCCTACCGGTTTCCCACATTGTTCTGACGTTCTGTTTACCTGTAAGTATTGTTGCTGTGGTTGTTAGAAGGGGCATCAGCCTCGTGACTTCCACAACATTTCCACTTTCATAATTAGGCACCACAACTCTTGTTTCAACTCGGAAGGCAGAGGTTAAATGGTTTAATTTATTTAATCTGGTCGCGTTTTTTAGCAGATTATTTCTGCCGAGTGGGAATGGGGACCTCATTTCTAACTCTCACTTTTGTGTGGGCTTGGGAACGGCAGTAACTCCAGAAAATCTACAGGTAGAGTTTCTGTTCACTTTGGTGCGAGACGTTCTTTTCTCTTGGTAGTTTTGGAGCAAAGATTAAAGTTGGTCGTTGAAGTCCATCTTTACAACCTTGTCCATGAGAACTACATGAGGTATTATGTCTAAGGATTTTGCGAAATCAAGGAATTTTAGATGAGTTGGTAGCTGTGAATATCATATAAAAGTCGTCCACTTTTTCGAAAGTTCTTCTTCATCACGATCCGATGAATGATGGCTACAGCAATGAAAATACATGATAGAATATTGTCATCGTTTGCTCCTTCGTATTTCAGCTTTGTTACTGGGTTTGGTCTAGTTCTTGGAAGCCGTAAGTACTATGAACAAATCTTTTAAGAGCTATTATTTTATTCATCGACTATCATGAAATTACGTTATATGTAGTACATAGTATGTTGCGAGTGAGCGAAGATGATAACAGGGATGCTACCCACTTCAAATGACAGGCTTCTAAAAGAACTTGCGCTATTCTCGATATTATTTGTAGATTCATCCTTAAATGTGGACAATGATGGTCACCAAATAACTTGTGAGGTGTTGTATCGGCCTCATTTTCGTTAACTGTTGAAATTGTTTTAACGGTTACAGCCAAGTAAACAAGACGGGCAAGATTATCAGAATGTAGTAGACCGTATTGATCGGGAGTCATCCATAATCTCGAAATTGTTCTAGCAATTTATACTAAGCAGGACGGTGTTATGAATAGATACACATGTCTTGATCTGTCAATTTTACGCCAAGTGTAATGCTCTCTGAGAAATCAGCAACTACCCGGCACTAATTCTTTCTAAGACACTTATATATGTTCTAATTCAAGGTTGGTGCTCTAGGAAGCTCTAAATACGATTAGTTTACTATGGATGAAGGTATACCTTGTTGAACTACTACAAGTAGTTTCAGCTCACCTTCACACTATCTACTTTTAAGCTAGGCTCAAGTAAATATAGCCTACAAGATCAAGTTCTGAACAGTAACATAAGGTGGAAATAAATAGAAGCTCAAGACCTAAGAATATTCTGAACTTTATGATGTTGCAATAGCAAGCACCTAAGGTTATTTTAGATTGAAAGGTGATCATAATTAAAGTTATATGAGGATTTTACATCGTATCAATATTTCTTGGCGTACATCTTAGAACACCGGACTCTGCAAAATATGCACCAGGCGATTAGCGATTGACTAATAATTTCATTATGCTGCTACTGATTGTGATGTTCATATTAAATGTAATAAAAGTGAACTTAGGCAAGTCAAATAATCTTGTTTGAAAGTGGTAATATCTGGTCATATGGAACCAGCAAAATGCTAGCACTCAATCATATATAGACTTTTTATGTCGATCTGTTTAAAGATACATTACGATATACATTAACGGTAAACATCGTTTTTTGATATGTGTACGGAACATGATGAATGAAAGCATGCGGAGAAATCGTTCGATTCTTTTTGGTTTTAATCTTGATTCAACATGCTGCAATGTCAACACTTAATGGGATGGATTGAAATAGGTTACTGTCACATAGCGACATTTGCCAAGCAGGAGTTAGATATTTCTACTGGGCACTTTTTGTCTGCAGAAATTTATTAATAGAATTTTTTGTAAAGGCAGGTACGTGCATCTGTAGAGTGTCTGAATCAGATGAATACACTGAGATATCTGGAATATATGCACATTAAAACCATCCAATTAACTTGTGTCTTTACAGAACACAATACAGTAATTACATTTTACAGTATTTTCCTGTACAGCTGGTGGAGTTGTAGTATCGCTTGGGAATATATGTGTAATATGCAAACTCTCTAGTTTCATCCACATTCGCATCAATCAAATGTTAGTGTGCACCTAATGCTACTATTATAAGTTACAACGACTTTTAGCAATTAATTATTCAGAGCATTTCTGTTTACACTAACGCACTGGAATATGCCCCAAGGATTTGAGTGGGGTCATTATCATCACATTCGTACAGTATTGTATTGAGTACTCACTGTCCTGGACATCTTGAGCACTTCACATAAGCCCTTTTAGTAACGTTATCCCTTCGGTTCTTTTATACACTTGTTGCAATAGTTTGGCTATGTTGTTCACAGGTGATGCAATTCCACCAAGTTATGTCCATCTACATTATGTTATTTCATTATATATATTCATTCTATACTTCTCTTCTTATGTCGTCAGATAGCACTATTCTTGTTTCGCGTTTATTAACTTCTAACAAAAAAAACTTAACATGAACTCAATGTATTTTGCATAAACCAAGATGTGGCTTAAGAGAGTTGTCAAGTGCAGATGCAATGAAAAGAACAAGCTGAAGATCCTTCCAAAGTGTTTTATTGGACAAGGTTGCTATTTCTTTATTATTTCGTTTTATTTTCTGCATTGCATTTTACTTAAGACTCTTCCAACCACTTTCCATGTCCCCAAGTCTTCGCTGTCCATGTCCGCTTTATTTAAATTTGGTTAAGGTCCACATTTCTTGTCTAATTTTGTTGTTGTAAGTCACAAGTCCATTGGCAATAAGGTTGTGTTAGACTAATTTCGGAGTTACTGCTTCAGTTGGTTGATGATTGCTGTCTCTTGACTGTCTAGATAGACGCTTACGTGACCCATACTATCTGAAACATTCCTACTGACTCTCAGGAAACAAACACTCAGTACGATATTTTGTGGAACTAAAACACTCTAATACATAATACAGGTTGCACTGTTTGGGGTTTTCTGTGAATTTGATACAATCGTTTTTCGTTCCTAAATTAG